CTGTTAAGTTGCTCTTCTATAGACGTTTTATAGTTTTTATCTACGTTTTAATCGAGAAAGAAGAGAAAATTTCTTTCTATATATATTAAAAATTTTTAGCGACAGTAAAAATGGGCTACTGAAAACTAAACAGAATGGATGTAAGGTTTATTACAACCGATTTTCGTTGAAAACGAATTAAACTCTACACGTAAAATAACCAAATAAATTTGTAATAAAATGATTTTTTCTCTTTTTTTTGATTGCAGTAGTCGAAATATAAATGATGTATGCTAAATTTTTTCGGACTGAACACTACTTATTTGAAAGTATACGATTTAATGCTTGAAAAAAAACATTTATAGCTTTAGGTAAATAGCAGTTTCTTTTAGAAATTTTATAGTATTTAACTACGATTTAATCCAGAAAGTAGCGAAAATTGCTTTTTAAACGTATTGAAAAATTTTGAGAGACGTAAAAATGTGACATAAGAAACTTAACAGTATAGGTTTTAGGTAACTACAATGAAGTTTTTATGAAAAAGAGTTCAACCTTTCACGTAAAATAACCAAAAAAAGTAGTAATAAAACGATTTATTCTCTTTTTTTTTTACTGAAGTAGTAGAAATATAAATAATGTTTGCCAAATTTTATTTTTCTGAAAACATTTTATTTGTAAGCATACGCTTTAAAGGTGGAAAGAAAACGTTTCATATCTTCTGTTAAGTAGCTCTTCTATAGAAGTTTTATAGTTTTAATCTACGCTTTTATCTAGAAAGTAGTGAAAATTTCTTTTAATCATATTAAAAATTTTTAGCTACGGTAAAAATGTGTCATTAGAAACTAAACAGAATACATGTCAGGTTGACTACAATCAAGTTTTTATGAAAAAGTATAGAACTCTACACGTGCAGTAACCAAAAAAAGTTTTAATAAAATGATTTTTTCTCTTTTTCTAGATTGCAGATGTTAAAATATAAATGATATTTGTTAGATTTTGTTGGGCATAACACCTTTTGTTTGTTTGTTTACGCTTTAACATACGAATGATAACGTTTTATGGCTGTTGTTATATAGCACTTTTTTAAAAGTTTTATAGTTTTTATCTACGATTTAATCCAGCAAGTAGCAAAAATTTCTTTTTAATTTATTGGAAAATTTTTAGCGACAGTAAAAAGGGGCTACTAGAAACTAAATAGGACTGATGTTAGATTTATTACAACCGAGTTTCGTTGAAAAAGAATTAAGTTCTACACGTAAAGTAACCACATAAATTTGTAATTAATTGATTTTTTCTCTTTTTTTTGATTTCAGTAGTCGAAATATAAATGATATTTGCTAGATTTTATTGGACATAATACTTTTTATTTTTTAGTATACGCTTTAAAACTTAAAAGAAAACGTTGTATAGCTTCTGTAAAATAGCACTATTTTAGAAATTTTATAGTTTTTACCTACTATTTATTCCACAAAGTAGCGAGAATTTCTTTTAAACATATTAAATAATTTCTAGTGACGGTAAAAATCTGTTAATAAGAACTAAACGGAATAGATTTTAGATTGACTACAATCGAGTTTTTATAAAAATAACAGAATTCTACACGTGAAGTAACCAAAGAAAGTTGTAATAAAATGATTTTTTTTTTTTTTAACTACAATTGTTGAAACATAAATGATATTTGCTAGATTTTATTGGTCATAACACTTTTTATTTGTTAGTATACACTTTAAAACATGAAAATAAACGTTTTATAGCTTCTGTTAAGTAGCAGTTTTTTAGAAATTTTATAGTTTTTAACTACGATTTAATCCACAAAGTAGTGAAAATTTCTCCTAAATGTAATAAAGAATTTATTGCGACGGTAGTAGTGTGCTGTTAGAAGTTAAACAGAATAAATGTTAGGTTAGTTACAATCGATTTTTGTAGAAAAAGAATCGAATTCTACACTTTAAGTAACCAAAAAATTTGTAATAAAATGATTTTTTCTCTTTTTTGGGACTGCAGTTGTTGAAATATAAATGATATTTGCTACCATTTATTGGACATAACACTTTTTATTTGTTAGTATACGCTGGAAAACTTTAAAGAAGACGATTTTAGCTTTTGTTATACAGCACTTTTTTAGAAATTTTATAGTTTTTACCTACGATTTAAACCAGAAAGTAGCCAAAATTTCTTTTTAAATATATTGAAAAATTTTTAGCTACAGTAAAAATGGGCTACTAGAAACTAAACAGAATGGATGTCAGGTTTATTAAAATCGAGTTTCGGTAAAAAAGAATTTAATTCTTCACGTAAAGTAACTAAAAAAATTTTTAATTAAATGATTTTTTTTTTTTTTTTTATAGGGTTTTTGACTACACCACCGATGATTTTCTCAAGGCATTTTGCAGGTTCTCCAGTCGTCGGGGTATTCCAAAGACGCTTAGAAGCGACTGTGGTACCAACTTCTAAGGGGCGAACACGCAGCTGAAGAAGCTACTCTCAGCTGCAACGAAGGAATCTCTCAAGATACAGAGACTGTTCGCTAATGATGGCTCTAAGTGGATCTTCAATCCTCCAGCAGCATCACATATAGGCGGAAAATGGGAGGAAACGGTGAAGTCTATCAAGTATCATCTCAAACGAACTATCAAAGAAACGTTGCTAACGTTTAAAGACTTCTTCACGTTCTTGGCTCAAGTTGAGGCGGTCCTCAATTCCAGGCCTTTCAGCTCTCTCTTGGAGGACCCTGATGACATCGGAGCCTTAACTCCAGGATATTTCATTAGAGGGGAGGCCTTGTCAACCATCCCCGAGCCTTCCCTAATAGACATTTCTGATTCTAGATTATCTCACTCATAGCGGATTCAAAAGCGCTTCCAGCAATTTTGCCGAAGGTGGACGACGGAATGTCTGCAAGCGAATCAGACTACATCCAAATAGCAGACATCGCAGAACGACATTAAGGACGAGTCCCTTGTCCTCATCATCGACGAACGACTTCCGCTGTCGAAATGGCTTTTCGCCAGAGTTATAAAACTACACCCAGGAAAGGACGGTCTCTGCCGGGTTGCCACGCTGAAGACCGCAACCAACACTATCACCAGACCTATCGTCAAACTCGCACCGTTGCCTCTTCAACTGCACACGGAAACATAATTTTCTCCGCAGCTCGGCACATCTCGTCCTGTCGAATTCTCGATTCACGCTCTAGAATTGGGGGGAGAATGTTCGAAAATTGCGCCACTTAGAGTAGGTGACAGCACCTCGCGGCCAGCATGATCAAGATGCCGTCTGTTATCTTCGGGAAGAAAATATATCGATTGTTCCTATTGAACAAGGGATCACGCTACTTATCTTGTAAACAGATTATTGGTACTGTGTGACGTCATCCTCAGCGTGTTTTCTCCTATTGGTAGTATTGTCTTCTCTTCCTAGCGCGGAACGTGCTAATTGGTGTATTGTTTACTTGCCACTTCCTCTCTGTTCCTCAACCCGTACTTAAAAGTTGCGGAGTCCAGGCAGAATCGTTTAACAAGTAAACCAGATGAGACGCGTGTTTAAAAGTTTCTAAAATTAGACATTTTCTCATAGTCCTCATCTCCTTCTGGCTCTCTCTCATCGAGGCCATTTTTGCGTTGTGTCTTCTGTCTGAGCATCTCTTTCTTTCTCTCTTATTATCAACTTCTCTGGTAATATCTTAGCCTTTTCTCTCTACTTCTGATCATCGCTATATCCTTTCTGACCTCTTATATTAGCCTTGTTTTTCTGATCATTTCTATCTCATTTCTATATCATCGTTTACCTATCATAATCGCCTTTTCTTCTTCATTCGAACAACTCACGACCTCTCTCCATATCACATTTGGTATTATCGTCTCCAACGGCCTCTCGTGTCACGTACTTCCGGTACACGTGGCGTAATATATCTTTCACTATTTTTTTGTATCATATTCCTCTGTAAACTACTTCTCTGCACTATTACATCCATTACATCCATTACAACTATGCGCAACCCTGACGCAACCCTTGGAGGACTTCGCACGTCTGCCTTGAAAAGTCTTCAGCGTTACTGGTCCGGCATAATCAAGCCCTGTAGTCTCGAACACAAGATGCCGGTAGTAGAGCCATAAGTTTTTGAGCTCTTACTACACGTATTCGAGCACAAGTGAGACAATCTTTGAGGAAGGACTTCACTGGAGCACGACCTCCAATATTCCAGAAGGTCCTTCGAATGTAGGAGAGTGTGAGCTGAGTTCCTCCATGCATGGTTCTGGCGTGAGCATCGGAGATGAATAGGTCGGTGAATTTTGACTGGCGAGGAAGTATTGCTGGATGTTTACTATCCTCATCCAGCTGAGAATTCTGCAACCGTCCACCAATCCTGAGAAATCCAGCACGATCGACAAAGGCCGTAAGTCGCGTCAGAACGTGATGTGTGTGAAGAGATTGGCCTGCTGACAAAGTTCTTAATTCTGGAGAGAAATACGCCTCTTGAGTCGTGCGTATCCAGCACGTTTTAGCCTTCTCCGGATCCGCTGGATTCAAAGGCGATGCGGACAAGCTTGAGCCTGAAACCTTCTTGAAGCACGAGACCGCTCTCTGAGAGAGTGCTGTGATCCGAAGGAGTTTAGTCAGATGACGATGGAAGGAGGATGATTGAGGGAGGTCAACGAGGTCCCAAACTGGAGGTTGGGCTTGTCAGAGTGCAAATGCAATGCCAGGGCCTTCCTGCAAATCCTCTTCTGGTGAGGGTGGCACTTACGACGGCCAAAATTCTGGCGGCTGAAAAAGCCATAGTGGACCACTCCACCATAGTTGGTGATCAATGAGTTGGGATGCACTAAACCCACGAGATGCACAGTCAGCTGGATTGAGCTTTCCGGAGATAAATCTCCAATGAGCATGGGGTACCGACTGATGAATAGCAGCTACTCTATTGCTTACGAGTTCCCTCCATCTCATAGGATTATTTTTGACCCATGCAAGGGTCACAGAAGAGACATACCACAGAAAAGTGATAACTTCCGAGAGGTCGAGAAGTTTAATCACTTTTCCCGTCAGCTTGGCTAGCAGAGCCGCTGCTGAGAGTTCAAGTTTAGGAATTGTCAACCTCTTGAGAGGAGCTACTTTCGTCTTAGAACAAACTAGACTGACTACTAAAGATGAGTCAGCATACGACACCCTGAGATATACAACTGCTGCCATAGCAAGTATAGAGGCGTCTGAGAAGCCATGAACCTGTATTGAGGTGCCCCTTGACGAGAGGTTTATCCATCGGGGAGTCTCTATGACTGATAGCTGAGAGAGATGTTGCCTGAACTGAGACCACTCGTAAATGATGTCTGGAGTGAAATGATCATCCCAGCGAACCTTTTCTAACCAGAGTTGCTGCATGAGAATTTTTGCTTTGATCACTACTGGAGAGAGGAGTCGAAGAGGATCGAACAATTGAGCAACTTCTGAGAGAATGATACGTTTAGTGACCGCCTGGTTGAAAGAGATGGTACCGTTAAAGGTAAACACATCTTTCTGAGAATTCCAGGAGTTACCTAAGATCTTGGTAGAGCTATCATCAAACGAATGGACCGGCAAGCTGTCAGACTGTTAGAAAGGGTGCGAGTGAGGTTGGGAGAAATAATCTTCCACTTGTCGAGTGATAAACAGGCGGAGGTGCACATGTCCTCTTACTGAGATGCGACTGCATTGAGATGATCAATGGTCTCTGCCTCCCCTGATATGTCGTCAACATAGCTTCTCTTGAAAATAGGATTGATTGCAAGAGGATAATTATGACCTTCACCTTCAACTAGCTGTCTGAGAATGCGACAGGCTAGATATGCAGCCGAGCGAGCACCATACGTGATAGACATAAGCTGATATGCCTGGAGTTGAGATGATTCGGTAACCAAGAGGATTCGTTGAAGGTCATGATTTTCGGGATGCACTTGGATTTAACGGAACATTTTGACAATGTCCGTTAGGAAAATGAACTTGTGCTGCCTGATCCACAGCAATACATCGAAAATGTCCGTTTGAGTCTTCGGACCAGTGTGCATGAGATCATTGAGAGAGATACCGGAAGAAGACTTGGCTGAACCGTTAAATACCACTCGCAGTTTGGTGGAGGAACTTTGCTCGCGCCAAACTCCGTCATGCGGGAGATAAAACGCCCGAGATGGCTCGGGAGCATCGAAAGGAACAGCAACCATATGTCCTAAGGACTCATACTCTTTAACGAAATCAGTGGAGGTCTCCTTGAAATGCCTATCGGTTTCGAATCTCTTGAGAAGTCTTTCAAGGCATGTCATGGCAAGAGACCGTGAATGCCCTAAGGTGGATATGTCTTTCGAGAATGGCAGACGAACCATGTAACGACCAGTTGGCAATTGAGAGTGCGTATCAACAAAGTGCTGCTCGCATTGCGATTCAGCAAGACTCAAAGTCGACGCGGGGTAAGATGGGACTTCTTCCTGAACCTAGAACTTCGTGAAAGCTTTGCCAAGAGAATCGTTGGAGATTGCATGGCAAATTTTGAGAGGATCGACCTGGCTCGGGCTGAATGTTGCGCCTATAACTGCCCAACCGTACCTCGTGTGGAAGGCTATAGGCTCTGAGTCGCCCCCCATAACAAGGCGAGAGGATTTAAGAACTCGTCTGAGATTATCAGCATTAACGAGAATGTCAATGTGATCTGAAGTGAGAAAGTCAGGATCAGCTAATCTAAGAGATCTGAGATGAGGCCAGTCTTGCTCCGATATTACAGACGACGGCAACTGAGATGTGATCTTTGGCAAAATGAATGCCTTAAGACGAACCCGGGACGACGAGTATGTCGATTGGAGGACCAAGGACACTTGACTTTGGGTCGCTCCTGGAGATGTACTGCTCACAACCTGAATAGGAATGTTTCCTGTAAAACGGCTAAGCTTTAGCTTAGCTATGATTTTAAAAGAAACTAATGTCATCCCTGATCCAGGATCAATGAGAAGACGTACTAATTTAGGCGATCCATTTGAAGATATGGCAAAAGCTTTACAAGTAGCAAGGAGTACTGGAGCTCGAGAGCACGTTGAAAGCGATGGATTAGACAAACGATCGATATCTGAAATAGGTGACGAATATCTGACTCGTTTTGTCGTCTGATAGAACCTTGAGGAAGAAAAGATGGTCAAGTTTAGGATGGATCTGAGAGGACGGTGTGGGTAATGAGATGTCCTACATACTCCTCATTCCGAGAAGGCCTTTTTTGAAGAGTTCTGAGAAGAAATCTTCTTGGTAGGTAGGGACTTAGGAGGAGATATTCGAGATGAGGATGACTCATGAGAGGAGTCATGAGCTGGAGCTTTCGGTTTGGTGGGGAGTTTGAGAGATGACGTACCGGAAGTGGGTGAAGATGAATTCGGACTAGAGGATCTGCGATGGGATGACCTTCTAACTGACGATTTCTGACGAACCTCCTATCTGAAGATACCAGTGAGCTCTGCAAAGACGAGACTCTCTGCGATGTCCGTGTAGTCTCTGAGAGGGAGCTTGAAGACCTTGAGCGTAGCGGCGATGACCTTGTTGCTGGAGGAGATGTTCTTGAGGTGGCTGTTATCCGTTTCTCGTGGTGGATTAGCGTGTGGTGCCGATCTCCACACTCGTTGCACCGTCTGTTGCTCCTGCACTGCCTAACGTTGTGCCTGCCTTGGCAGTTGTAGCACAGGCGTGACTCCGCCACCACTTTCTCCTTCTTCTGCTGATTGAGGCACTTGAACTGAGGACAGAACGCGATATAGTGCCTCTGACTACAATAACTGCAGTTATTGGAGAGGTCGTTTATAAACGGCAGAGGATGGTTTTCAATTGGCCTTTTATCGACTGCTTACTGAGATGATCCGGGCGTTTGAGATGTCTTCGCAGGCGTTTAGGTTGTCTTCGCAGGCGTAGAAGCCACAGCCTTCACGTTCAAGGCCCTGGCATAGGACCTTATGGGTAGTGATGTTGGCCGTTGAGAAGTCCTTTTGCCTTCACCATAAGCCTTACGAGTCTCTATGTGTTCAAAGACCCGGCAGTGCTAATGAGATAGCTGGTTCTGTAATCTAATGCTAACCCCACCTGGTGGACTAGGATGTGGTCCCATTAGTCGACCGGGCATCCCAATGTCCCCAGTGCACTTAGAGACGATGTCACGAGATTGATGATCTTGTTAAGAGATCCAGATGACCTTTTCTTGATGCGAGGAAGGGCCATTAGCCTATCGAGATGGGCGAGTATCAATAGGCGCTTGTTGTCGAACCTGGCCGACAACCGATTCCATGCGATCGCGAAGGAATCTGCAGATAGTTTCAAGTTGGCTACCACCTTAGCTGCCTCTCCCTCTAGGCTGGTCCTCAAGTATTGCATTTTCTCAACCTGTGAGAGGTCCGGATTGTCTTTGACCATGGAGAAAAGTAATTCCTCGAAAGGCCTCCAHTCTGAAAAGGCCCCGGAGAACTTGGGCAACGAGATATTCGGCAGTACCGACCGCGGACGAGATTGCGGCTGAGGCATTGCTTGCGATGCCTACCGAGAGAGCTCCTCCATGCGTTGATTTAGCAGCGTAATTGCGGCTAAATATATTTGCATAGTCGTGTCATAGCGATTGTTCTTAAAATACGGCTGCTCCATTGCCGTTTCACGAGACGATGACACTATTTGGTCACGTTCAGCATCGAATTTTTTCCAAGTCGTTCGGAGTAGTTCTCTAGTCTCCACAGCGGTGGAGGTCCCGTGCTGGCCAATCTAGTGATGAATGATATTTTAAAAAATATTGAAGGCATGTTACCCTTTCCAGTTCCTTTCCTGAAGGTTTATGTTGATGACGTTGTCACAGCAATACCTAAGTATAGAATCGACCAAACACTTAAGACCTTCAATAGTGTCAATTATAAGATTCAATTCACAATGGAGGTAGAAAATAATGGAACCTTCCCCTTCCTAGATATGAATGTTATAAGAAATGAAGACGGTTTCATTGTAACGAACTGGTATGTGAAACCTACTAGCTCTGGTAGATGTATAAATTACAATTCGAATCATCCAATGAGCCAAAAAATTGGGGTCATTAACACTAGAACTACCAGACCAGACAAAATGACTGGTCGCGCAACTTCATTATTTAATTCCCACCTCACGTTTCATTTTTTTCTCAAAATTATATGATGACTTTTCTAGATATAAGGAATGGTTTGTAAAAATAATTTTTATTTTTTTATAACTTAAACAGAATTCGAATAAATTTTGGCATTTGCTACTTCTACCAATACCA